TGCATTAATTAGAAATATGGCCAACTATTTACAAGATAGGAAGAGAATGACATATATTACCCATATATTCTCTTTCATCATTTATTTATTTATTGTCTCTCTCAATTACTTTCATAATAAATAAGGGCATATTTTAAAAAAAAATATTTCTTATCTATTTATCATTTTTAACTAATTTTAACTGATTGTTTATTAAATACAATTCGGTTATTTAAAGTTTATATATGGGCCCAGAGGGGCTATATATAAGATAGCCGAATCACATAGATAATAAAATTAGTTAAATTAGTTAATAATAATAAATATGTATAGATATATTTTATTTATAAAAATTATCTTTATTTAGAGAGAGTGAGTGAATGTGAGATAGAAAATGGCTAGAGGAAAAAAAAAAAAGGCATGCGAGAAATAATAATTAATGTAATGACATACTCCTCCGGCCGGAGGAGTAGCATTAAATTAATAGAGATAAAAATTTAAAAAATAATTACAATTTCACATACGACCTGGTCCTAGAAATGTATCAGATGTTTTTTGTTGGAACCCCTCTTTTTCTCATTAAAAAAAATGGGTGCGTTACTTGTCCAATAAAAAAGTAACAATAATAATAGTAATATCTTATAATTATGACGGGAGGTAGTATCTTTTCAAGTATAACTTATAAATAAAACTATGTGTAACTCAAAAACCATATCTTATAAAAACTACTTCCGATCCTTAATATAAGAGCTAATTGACAAATTTGATTAGATTAAAAAATTAGCTACATTAGTTATTTGTAATAAATAGATGTTGTCTTTCTTAAAATATCCTTATTAATCAAGTGTACTGGTTAGAATTACTATTATTACAAAAACTATTTTGGAAAAAAAAAGATTAACATGAGAGACAAAATAGACTGAGGTCTTATATTTAGGATCAAAATAAAAATCAAACAAATTTTTATATTAAAGGCTGAAAGTAGTATATAGAATTGGGCGTTGTACTACATAATTGCTAATTGTGGATGACTATCTTAAATGGTGATGGATGACAGGAAGCGAAATTAAAACAAAAATTAAAAAGGAGGCTAAAGTAGGTGGAACACAACAATCATATTAAACAAAACCTCTTTAAGTGTAACCACTAACCACTCTCCATCTCCCCCCTCACTTCAATTTGTGATCAGTCTGGCAGTGCACTTTTCACGTAAGTCTCTATATCACATTAATTCGCATCACAACCACTATTTTCTCCGCAATCTTAAGCCCACCCTCTCCCACTCTCAAATCAGCACATGACAATATGGTATCTTTAAACTCGAACAAATCTAATAATGTTGATTTTTTTCTTTTTCATTTTTTTTACCATGTATAAATATTTTTTTATTAGAAGCAATCCCATTCGAGACACTGTCAGGTGTTAAATGTAAGTAATTCTTCTAGTTGAAATTTCAATTTTAGTTCGTGAGGAACTAAACCCTTTTATTTGGTTGATGTTGAGTCAACCAGCTGAAATAATTAAGTGGGAGGTAATTGGGCCAAAAAAAAATCTTACAAAGAGCGAAATAAGTGTGGTGGGAAATGACTGGGCCAAAAGAGTCCAATAGAAAGCCGAAAACTCACGTATAATTTTGATGCAATCATGCAGATCCCAAATAATCCAAGTTGCCATATCCACTGAACGGATCAGATGAGGTGTCACTTTCAATTTCAAAAATTAATCTATTCGAGTTTATTTTAGACCAATATCAAGCAATTTGGTTTTCCGGTTTCCCCCGTCATGCTTCTTTTAATTTTAACATGTTTGTATTTCTGAATCGTTGTCCAATTATAAGGCACCTTTTAGAATAAATTCTATCATAAACCATATTTATTTTAAATTGTCCCTATTTAAAATCTAATTAATTGCACCTTTTTTTATGACTTCTTAGATGCAAGTTATTTGAAATTCAACCGGGGGTTTGATGGCATGAAGGAAGCACAGAGGCGGTTTGCCATATGCAGGCAAAGGAGAGGAAACGCCAAAGGCTTGGCGCTGTGATGAGGGATGACCATCAATAAAAGGGGGGAAGACGGGCGGTGGCGTCTGAGCATACACATACAGTAAGCCACGTGGACGCTAAGTCAACCTTTTCTGAGTCAACACTAGCTAGCCAGTTTTGGGCAACATCCACGTGGAGAAGAAATTCCTCCCATCAATTCTCGCTAATTAATTCAAAATTCAGCGTTCAGGATTGGATAGCGGAAAATATCTGAAGGCAATACGTATTGGTTGAATGGTTGTTTTCAAAATTCAACATATTTGATTTTTTTTTTCTGGAAACACGTATATTTGATATTATACTATCTATCTTTACATAATATTCCTGTATTCGGTTCTTAATATAAAAACCTGTTTAATTTTTATTTTGGTTTTAAATATAAAATTTTAATTCATTTTGTCTATCATATTTATTCATTTTTTCTAAAGTATTTCTTGTAATAATGATAGTTCTAACTAATACATTTGATTAGTAAGTATATATTAAAAAAATTAACACTTATTTATTACAAATAACTAATTTAACTAAATTTTTTAACCTATTCAAATTAATTAACTAGTTTTTACAAGAAGCGGAGGTTATAAAAAAAGAGGCAACAAGACTAAAGAGGATAACAACACAAAAGAAAGGAACCAAAACGCCACCATAAAAGTCACAGCCCCGAGCTGGTCTTTGACCAACCAGTAAGCCACGTAGCCAGCTGACCACTGAGTCAACATCTTTTTTTTTTGGTGGGAGGGGGGGTCACAATTAACTGATCAAATCCAGACTAGAAACCCAGTTTTTATCAACAAACCATAACGAGAGTGATCCTAAGAATCTATTGGCGATAATTAATAAAAACTCAAAATATTTACGCGGCCTAAAAAACAAAAACAACGTTTATAGGGTCCCAAATGGGTCCTTTTTTTTTTTTTTAGTCGAAAGTGAATATGTATTACTGAATTATGTACAGAGCGTGAGGTAAAAATAACAGTCAATTAGTTAGTGCTAACAATAGTATGTAAGAGGCTGCTCGCAATGAAGGTGTGATTAACAAAAGTCTGGACGAAGATAACAATGCTCTGCGGGAAAAGAGGATCAGCTGGGAAGATGCGTTTGTTTTTGTTATCTCACAGCTTCCAACATAGTGTGCCAAAGTGGAGTCTCCAGTGAGTACCCGTGCAGCAAGGATTGAGATTCCAGAGCAGCCAGTCATCAAAAGGCTTGGAGAAGAATTCCTGAGTCCTGCTGTGAGGTAGTATTTGCAGCCAGCATGCATGCGCTATAGGGCAATAGCGAAGTATGTGGTCAAGATCCTCAATAGCTATGTGGCATAATTTACAGGTGCCTTCCATGGTTAGGCCTCGTCTCATTCTTTCTGCATTAGAGAGCAATCTATTCTTTTTGGTTAGCCACAGGAAGGTGCGTATCCTTTGGATGCCAGGCCATTTCCATATCCACGGCCAACATTTGTCAGGAGTTTCCCATTCAAGTTGTTGATTAGCTTGGTAGGCCGAGTTGATAATGAAGGCGTCGTTGGCTGAGGGGTTCTAGTAGCATGAGTCCTCTACATTTAGCTCTTGTGGAGGACCTTTCGCAGCTATTTGTAGGTTTAGATTGGGTGGAAGTAGATGTTGGAATTTGATCCAATCCCATTCTTCCTGGCTATTGATGTAATCACTGATTGTCTTGTTTATGTCTGAATCCGGCACATTTGAGCAGGTAAGGTGCTTGAGGAGTCCCATGATATCACCAACCCAGTGATCAAGCCAAAATCTAACAGTCCTACCCTTCCCAAAGGTCCAGGTGAAGTTTAGTTCCGTGTTGGGCCAAACAGTAGCTATACTTGGCCAGACATGTGAAACAATTTTTATCTTGAAAACGTTGCTTTGATTAGGCCTCCAATTGTACTAGGCTTTGAGAACTTGGACCCATAACTTATCAGGCTGACTAATGAGGTGGAAAGCCAGTTTGGATAGGAAAGCATGATTTTGCTGCTTGAGGTCTGTCAATCCACTGCCACCGTATCTCATTGGATGACACATATCGTCCCATTTAACCAAGCTTAACTTTCGAGGGGATTCGTCTAACCCCCATACCAAGCTCCATATTGTTTTCTCAATTGCATTGCAAGAGCTGGTAGGAAGGAGGGTAGTTTGCATGGTGTAGAAAGGCATTGTGCTTAGAACGGACTTGGCAAGAGTAATCCATCCAGCCAGGGATATGGTCTTTGCTTTCCAAGCTGATAGTTTTTGCTGGATCCTGCTAACAAGGTATTAATAGGTGTCCTTTGGAATCCTATCATGTAGCAAGAGAACTCCAAGATATTTGCCCAACTGGTCAGTCCTTTGGAATTTGAGGAAGGTGCATATTTGATCAGCATCCCTTTTCCTCCATACGAGGCAACATTCTTTTGCCCCAAGGGATAGGATGAGAAAGGCGTCATCGCCATTTGTTTGGATTACAAAAATCGTGAAACGAGACTTCGCTCATTGTTCACAACGTGTGAGGAATAAAATCAGGGAAAGAATGAATAGGATCAGGATGGAACAATACTTGATTAGACACCGAATTTTTTTCTTTTTTTGCCAAGATTAGACGCTAAAATATATTGAGACTCATTTTAAATTTATTTATTAATATCATCACGTCTGGTTAATCATTAACAAATACTCGTAATAATTTTTTAATCATCAAATTAATAAAAAAGACAACAAAAAAACTTACGCACATTTTCTTATTATCATTTTTTTAATCAAAACATGGCAGCGTATAATTATAACTCGGCATATTCAGCCAAAAGAAAAAACGTAGAATCATATTATTATGTACCTTAACATGCTGGGTAAATGTCTCTCCCCCCCCCCCCAAAACCCCTAAAACAGGGGGGGGCCAGAAAGAGCGTATTTGTTTTGTCAACCTGTGGCTGTGTTTTGGGAACTATTTGCTATTCCCGTGATGTCACATAGCCATGTCATATTCACACAACATCCAATATCGTTTCAAAGCAGTCAAGTTATATTGAACTAAAAATAACTGTACATGAATGTTCAGTATCCACAAAAACAAGTAGGGACGGTTTTCAGCAGTGAAGATGAGAACACTTGAGCAAACCAAGCTAAAAGAAGAGAGAAAAACGCAACTCAACGAAGTCTGGGAAACAAGCCGAAGAAGTTAATTAATGCTCAAACGACAAATGCAATCACCAACCATTATTGCGCAAGAAATCAATAAGTAAAATAACTCATTATACAATGTTGACCCGTATAGACATCTTATGTACCAAAGTCATCCGAACTCAATGTGCACTAACAAGAAATGGGTGCTGGCAAACCCCACACTCAATGGTCTCTGAGCCCGAGCTAGGTACTTGGACCTGAAACAGTCATATAACAGAGCCCCAGAGCAAGAAGTTGAGGGCAATAAGAGTTTGGAATGTACAGGAAATAAGAGTAAAAGAATTTAGTCAATAAATTTCAAACCTGCAGATGGACTGTGCAAGTGGGGCATTCAACTTCCTTCATCCGTCTTCCAGATCCATCAGACTTGGAACCTGTGAATTAGACCAGTAAGATGATCGAGCTAAAATATAATGATTTCATTGAAGCCTGGTCAGACTAGCAAATCTCTACAACCATTTACAACCCTGGCTCCTAGAACACTAAATTCGGATTACACTATACCTGATGTCCTCCGATTCCTCTCCAGCTCCTCCTACCAAAACAATCATCATTAATGACTGTTTACACATGAATGTACGCTTAACCAAGCAGTTATATAAACTAGTTAAACTCATCCACAGAAAAACAACACGGAAAAGTGCTACCTCCTAACAATTTACCTGAAGTTTCCTCGCAAGATCCTCATGACTTTGCAATACAGGCTTGTTTGCAGCCTCTTTAGCATTACTGAGCCTCTGTGTCACCTCTGCCTATACAGCAAAAGGACTTAATAAAACTCTCGATCTTTTCAATGCACATAACACATAACAAAAGTCTTCAATATATAAATATTACAATGCCACACAGATTTGACCGAACATAGACATTTTAAAATCAACGAGGGAAATTGTCCAGCATTTTACAAAGAGAGGCAAAGGTAAACCAGGCAGCCAAAAAGATAAGCAACCAAAAATTCCCTCTATAGACATGCATATCCACATTGCTAGACATTAGAACCTCAGCAAGGGGGGGAGGAAGAACGCTCTGGTGTTACATATGATAATAACAGAGGGAAGGTTTTACCGCTTGAGATAGAACCATTGCAGGATTACATAGCTTAACTACGTAAAGAAGATTGGTGGCAAAACAAAAAAAAACCTACGGAAAGAAGATAAACTATACTAATCTGACAAAAACACCTGCATAGCAAGCATAATACGTCCAATTCCATAAGCTCAGTGATGAACAGGGAAACATCAACAAAATTACACATACCATGCATCGGTCACAAACTCGCACTGGCTGGGCATTCTCATCAGCAGTTAGAGCTATTCTACCATGTGTGCATTTGTCACAGAAAATATCCCCACAGTTCCTACAGTGATGCTGTCATAAGCACGAACAATTACAAAATTAGCAATTACGCACAAGAAACAAAACTTCACTTCAAAGAGGAGAGGAAAGATCAAACCTTACGAACAAAAGCCCCAAAATCAGTCCCACATGCTGTACATTTTGAAACTGCTTCATCTGGGACCTACATATCGATAATGCTAATAAGTAGTTTCCACACAAGACAAAACAAATAACTTTGATCTAATATCCATAGAGTTGACCAACTCATTTTCTGTTAGACAGTTTTATAGCAAAAACAACGAGTTTAATAAAATTCAAAAAGAATCTGTTTTTACCCAATGATCTTTCTCCTCATTGGCAGGTTTGATCATATTCATCCAATCAACAAGGCCTTTCTTCTTTTCTGTAGGTTGTTCATTTGTTTTCAATGATTCAACAGGCCTCCTATTTCCCCCCATTTCCTTGAACTGCATTAAAATAAGGAAGTCGTTATCTATATCAGCCATCAAACAATGCCTGCCACCATAGAACAATTTAGGACAACCACATAAGAAACAACACCCCACCAATAGTAGGGGAAATAAACCAGAACTCGTTTAACTAGAAGACATGGTAAAGAAAAGATAAGGAACTGGCCAAGAATAATGTAATACAAGTGAAAAGTTTAAATATCATTCCAAAATACACACGAGAGAATATATTTAAACCCATGAGATTAAACCGTGCACATGCATATGGTTCAAATACGAAACTTTAAGAGGTAACGATTAATGATCAACGGGGAAATAGATTCATAAACATTGACATCATGTTCTGCCCGCAATTATCTATCTAGTACCTGCGAAAAGAGAAAGCTACCTAAATAGAATTTCTGGAAAATTCACACACACACACAGACGCACATGTATGCACGTGGGCCACAGAGGATCAATACAGAACAGGAAAAGAATTGATAGGAGTAAGAAATCAAAATACCGCAATCCAATTTGAATTAAGGACTTAGACATTTAGCATGGAATAGATCATGCAAGGAAGAGAATAACATGGAATAGATCATGCAAGGAAGAGAATAACATGGAATAGATCGTGCAAGGAAGAGTTTAAAAAATTAAAAAAATACACGAGGTGATGCAGATAAGGAACAGAAAATACAATCAATGTTATCCACATATAACAAATATTCAGCAATGTCTAAGCATTTTAGGAGCAAAATGGTACTCTTCAGTTTTCTACGTCAGAGCAGAGGAAGAGGAATCCAGGGCAAGCCCTGATTTTTGACTTGCTATTTAGTATTTACATTTGCCTTGTTTCTAAGACTCTCCAATCTTAAATTTAAAATTGCTTGTTTTAGCACAAGTATAACAAATTACAATAATTATAATTATAAATTTTTAAAAAGGATTAAGCGTTATAACATGTTCTCACCCAAGAGAAACACTATGTCACCACCACTGGTTCAGACTCTCTGAACTAAAACAAACCCAGTATATTTCTAAATGAGTTTCTTTATGCATTAAAATCGAGGCCCCTCTGAACTCTACCTGTATGATTACAGCAGTAACTGTATCCAAGAGAGTGTTGGTGGTGTAACTATTGGATTGCAATCTGATTCGTCTTGGCTCAATGTCAACTGGACTTTTGGACCAAAATGCAAGGGTAGTCGAGTCGAATTTCTGTATTATAAGGTTAAAAGAAAATTGTAATGATTAAAACAAAGAAAATTGAGTCAAATTTAAAATTTTCATGCAGAACAATATGCTCACGTCACATCTCGTGATGTTCTCAAGGGGATAAATTCTCAACGTCCGGCTGGTACTTGGATCCAGCATACGAATTCCATCCAAACCAATCTAAAAGATATAATAGAACAAATCAATAATTCTGAAATCAGGCCAGGATGAACAAAAAAAAAATAAAAAATAAAGAAAACAACAATGACGTTGTAAATACTAAAGACATTGTCAAGACTCAAATGAAAAGCTCTTAGCTTGTACCTGACAGAGAACATCCATAGTGCTCTGACCACCACTCTCTGCCAATAGCTTGACACGAAATTTCTGCACTCCACTCTTAATATCCTCTTGGGCATCAGCCTTCGGCACAGCTTTCACAACCTTGTTTGAAAAAGAGGGTTCCTTCGCAGCGGGAAAACTAATTGACCTTCCATAATCATCAAAACCGGACCAAGTTGAGGACTTAGGAGCCGTACCCCGTGCTCCATATGGTTCCGTTTCGGCCCCTCTATAGGCATACACACCGTCTCCATAAACATCATCACGAACAGTATCATGCCTCGTATCCGGCCGCTTTCCATACAAATCTGACCCCAAATCAGACCGGCTCCGATTAAGGCTTCCATACTTGTCATCGACATAAACACCACCATAATCAAATTTCAGGGAATTCTCGTATGGACTCTCGTACGTGGGGGGAATCGACGATCCCGGATGGGTGTACGAAGATGGATAGAAGGACGACGTTAAGGAATTGGGAGTGGGGTTAGGAGGAATTGCAGAGGAAGAAGGGGCATAACTTGGAGCCGTTTGATGTTGATCATACGGGGGATATTGACATTGTTGCTGTGGAGGTTGTTGATACGGGACATGCGACTCAAACGGAGGAAAAGAGGAAGGTTGGGGAGGAGAACTGAAGGAGTTCAAATTGGGGTTGGAGGTTGGAGGATATGAAGGGGCAGTGGGAGGGACTGGCATAGGAGGATCGGGATTTTGAGGGTATGGAGGATAAGTAGAGGCGTAAGGCGAGTAATCAGAGGTGAAAGGAGGAGCGGAGGCGTACTGGTTTGGGACTGAATCAGGAGGGATAGGGTTAGGGTTAGGATTAGAATTGGGAATTGGGTTCTGCATCTGAGGGAATTGGTAATAAGGAGATGAGCTGTAGTCTCCGTGTTGCATGATGATGGTTTCAGAGTCCTTCGCCGGAGGGATTGCCTTTGATCGGAGTTATGGGAGCACCGGAGCAGAGAGACACTGATCAAGCGCACGCGATTCCGGGGCAGCAAAGATTGCAGGAGTTTTGCTCCTCTCGTGCTGCGTGGTTGTGTGGTATAATAACCATGTTTTTTTTGCCGCCGTAGTAACTTTCTATTTCTATGCGTTTTGGTTTGGATTAGATACGCCTCTTGGGCTTGAATTTCTAAGTACTCCTCCGATACTTATTATAAGACCCAATTTGACTTTTTATTTGGTCCTAATTATAAGACCCAATCCATTTTCTCTCTTATATTTATGTATTTTTTTCCAAGATAATCCTTCTAATAATGATAGTTTTAGCCAATATACTTAATTAGCAAGGATATTTTAGGAATAACAACACTTATTTATTATAAATAACCAACTTAATTTACTTCCTTAATCTCCTCAAATAATTCAATTGGGTCTTACAATTAGGACCGGAGGAGTATTATGTTTTCCTATTTCTGTTTTTCTTTTCCATGCGGCATTAATGATATCACAAATGCCATTCCCCCAATGTATCCAAAAAAAAAAAAAAAGCCATTTCCCCACCATCTTGAAGCCCATTAAGTTTATATTTTATCAATATATATGTACATTAATTAAAACAATATAATTTTTATCACAATTAAAAGGTTACCCATGATTACGTAGATTTTTAATTAACATTATATCTCTATCCGATCAATCTATCTTGTCACTTAAGACTAACTATATTTTGTTGGCCACGGTAAAACTAATTATCTTCGCATTTAAGTAAAAGTCACAGGTGATAGGGCTGTCTGATCAAAGAGGCCCAAAAATATGGGCCGAAGGAATTAAGTGTAATACGGGAGGGTAGCATGGGTATCTCAAAGCGCGTCAGATTTGGAGTCGGTTTCTCTGGCTATAAATTCATATCTGGCTGCTGCTTTCTATTGCTTCGAGATTTTTAGATCTAAGGGTTTCCTCCGAAGCTTTGAGACGCCGACGAAGCTCAAGAGCTAGGGTTTCTTGAGATCTTGCCCTACTCTCTTTCTGATATCTAAATCGTTCGGCTTTTCTTTCATCGTCGATTGATTTTGCGATTCCAAGTATACATACGATTCTTCTGAAATCGAAGATGTCTAGGTGCTTTCCTTTCCCGCCTCCGGGGTATATGAGGAATGGGGCATGTAGCGAGGATTTGATCAAATCGATTAAGGTTTGTTGAGCAGTTTCGTTTTTGGGTTTTGCTCAACTGTATGTGTTGAAATCTGTGGGTAGATATGGGACTTTCTGTTGCTTCCTCGACCCGATAATTAGTATGTGATGAATGAGGTTTTCTGTGTTCGAGTGTCGTCCTAAACGTTAATAGACCAAGGTCTATCTGGGAAGCTCACATCAGAGAACAAGCTTAACTTAAATACGAGCTTATGTAGGTTAAAAACCTGGAATCAGTTTAATTTGTGGGGCGAACAGAGTTCTACTCGGCGTTCCTGGTTTGTGAACTGAACTCCTTGGAGTTTCGTTTTCTGAAAACTATTTTCCGAACTGAACAAGTCTTTTGAAAACTTCTTATTTTTTTCATGAACTTGTTTCTCATGAAAATTTAATTCTCAGATTAAAAGCAACAACTAGGTAATCTGTTTTTTCCCAATGTTAATCTGTAAACAATCTCAAATAATGGGGCGCCCTGCCTTTCTTGATTCTCGTTTTCTGCCTGATTCCTACAAAATAAGCATCCGCACGTAGCTATCTCCTTCAGTTCGCAATGTAAAATCACATGAAATAAAATTATCTGGATTTGTTGGTCTGGTCCTCTATGAGGAATTTGATTATGGTACTTAATCTTCATTGGGTGTGTTTACTACTTTATGGCATGATGGGTCTCTTTGATTTGTAAGAGATAGCTGTTAACGCTGGAACTGTTGCTTTTGACGCGCCAAAGATGATAATGGTTGTTTATTTAGAATTTAGTTTATTCGGGTCAAAGGGAGGATTGATATGCATGTCTAGCATATTTGCTTCTTTGCTCTGCCCTATCCTCTATTTGAAAGTTTTGTTCTGGTGCTGTAAAGCTCCAGAAGGAGAGGGATGAAGCCAAGGAACAAAGGAAGAAAGACAAGAGAAAGAAAAAGGAAAAAAGAAAAGAGAGGAAAGAAAGAAAAGAAAAGGAAGCAAACGCGACACATCACTGTGATGATAAAGGGAAGGAGTGCAAGCTCAGGAATCTAGAGTCCTACCGGCTGGAGAAAATTAGAGCAGAGCAAGGCAGTGGATGTTTGCGAAAGGTAGGTGACGATGATAATGAGCAAATAGAAAGGAGTGGTATCACGGAGGAACATGATCAGCCTTTCTCTTCGACTGAACCCTGCTGCTTGTCAGACAGCACTCAAAGTAGTAACAAGAGGAAAAGAAGTACCTCGCCATCACGTAGTGATCACGGTGAGTAACCTGGGTTCGAAGATGATTTTTGTATTTTATGTTTGTTCTGAGTTCTTATATACAATCTTGGACTATCTTTCAAAACAGGAACTGCTATTAAAATCCGATTGCCATTGAGAAAACACCGAGAACATGAAGAATTGCAACAAGATTACCGCGCAGGTTCTACTGGAAGTAAAGGGATTACAAAGTCCTTCAATGAAGAGTCACGCCATCAATTCCAGGGGCAGCGAAACTCTGAACCAGAACAAAGAGAATATCAATATATAGTTCATACTGGAGTGGATCCAAGCACCAATTTGAAAGATAGTGAACGTGGAAGGATGGCGTCCCTTTATAATTCGTTGTTTCAGAATTGGAACGCCTGTGAGCTCCAGCTGAAGGGATTCGAGTTAGAAGAGGATCAGGATTGGCTGTCAGCGTCAGAAGGGCGTCAAACGCAGGCAACAAAGAAAGCGAAATCTGTTAATGATTTTCTGGGGTGTTCTGGTTCATCTCTATGGCCTCGTGCTCAATACTTACCCGAAGCTGATATCTACGGATTGCCCTACACCGTACCATTCTGATTTTTTTATTCTTTTGTGGCTTCTTTGAGTTGTTAAATGACAATGCTCAACTGTAGGGAGCCATGTAGCAGAAATTTTGCAATTACAGGTGCTACATTTAAGAAAACTTAAAGAAAAGAGCGCTTGGCGTTGATTGGCTCGCATTCTGTATATATCGTCAAATTGGCCCTTTCACTAAAATAGTTAGCAAATATTAAAAGGTCACGCCCCATGCATCGTGGGCTTTGGAGATGATAATAACCGGATGGTATTATCTTCCGTAATCACTTGTTTTGGAGTACGATAATAGGAAGCTAAAATTGACCAAAACCAACAGCTCATCGAATATGACTACTCAATGAAACATTTTCTCGTTGGGAAGCCCCTAACGTGTAGCACACATTAAAAATGAAATCCAGATAGTGTTATCAAATGAAGTTGACGATAGTTACAGATTACTAAAATCAGTGTTTGACCGACTGGACAAAATAGCCTAGAATATCAGTCCAAACCATACAGCTTCCTGCTCTCCCCAATCAATCACAATATTGAACAGGATTTCTGAGCCTTCCTCTTCTTTTTCTTTTGCTTTGGTGGTTGAAGCACCACTTTGATGGCTGCGTCAAACACGGCTTTCACATTCTGTAACCACAGGGGAAAGAAGCCCATAAGAGGACTGTCATTGCATAATTGTTAGGCAAGTGAAGAGACCACGAACCTGCTGTGTTTTAGAACTACACTCGATGTACGCAGGAGCGCCTATCAGCTTTCTCAGTTCTTCTCCCTTCGGACATTAAAAAGCAAACATTAACTTCTAAATTAACTAGTAATTAGCAACAAATCTCTATGTAGAAAAATGGTCAAGTGAAAGACTACATCAGTTTTTCCCCCTTCAGACAGTAACAAGCATTAAAACGTGCATAAACCGTACTGCCAAAGGCGGTAGTTCTTACCTGCGCTGTAGTTATAGGCACAGCACCAGGGTGGTCCATGAAAAACTGTTTATCGTCTCGAAGATCTGCAGAACAAAACCAATATCAATCTTTTGCATCATCCTACAAGTTTTGATCAGATGTCAAATATTCAGCTCCATGGCTACTCGGCCGTAAGCTGTTCCCGCCTGGTTACAGGGCTCAACTTTATTTTATCCAACATCCTAGTGATTTTATATCCTTGAAACAACAAAAATTGCTATTACCAACAGTGTGCGCATGATAGTCCGCTGCAGTTAGTAATAGCTGTACCTAGAAGATATATGGGACTGTTAAGGGCTTCATGCGGGTATCTATTAGGAGGTGCTAGAGAGAGTTCATCAAGAAAATGGGAACCAAAAGCAGGTGAGGGCAGATAGGAAAGATAAGCAGAATTTTGGGTATTATTGTTCGAGGTTCTAAAGTTCTAACCCCTCCAGGCAATATGAATTCTGCTCGCTCCTTCATTCCAGCGGTAACCATATTGCACTCCAACTCAGGGACGTCGAGGGCTCCCATCACATTACAGTATTACACCACTCTAAAAAATTTATGTATATGAGAAGGCTGGAATCTCCAAAACATCAATCACGTCACTTCAGATTTCCAGTTATTGCACAAATAGAGGAAACTCAAAAACTTTAAAATTCTTTATTTTCTTATTTCTTAGAATTCAAAACCAAGACTAGAGCTTGTTGGACCAGGATGATAACTCTTGACATCATTATCTATATTTGCTGGTTTTGCAGCCTAAAGTAAATAGTTAGCTGAAAAAACAGATTTTACCGCATCTGCAACAGGCATGTTAAGAATCAATTGCAGCATGCCAGTATGGTGAGGGATCGGATCACGAGAGGATTAATAGAGTCAGAAAATGATTACCTAACTTCGTTCCAACTAAAATTATTGGAACACCAGGAGCATAGTGCCTCAGCTCAGGGATCCACTGAAATAAGAAATAAAAAACAGCAATAAATCAATCATCAATAAGTTAACTAAGAATTGGAAAAAGCAGAAACGCGTGTAGATGATGGTCTAAGTATATTTGTTCTGTTCAAGGAAATAACCTTCTTTGCAATATTTTCATAGCTGGCCTTGCTTATAAGGGAGAAGGCAAGTATAAAGACGTCTGCTCCTCGATAGCTCAAGGGTCTTAATCTATTATAATCCTCCTGACCTGTCAAACTTTAAGCTAAATCACCGGAAACAAGCTATATGCTGAAATTAAAATATAATTCTGTATAGTGAAAGTAATGGTTGCGGTATTACCAGCAGTATCCCATAATCCAAGATTTACTGTGCTTCCATCAACAACAACATTAGCACTGAAATTGTCAAAAACAGTTGGCACATAGTCCTGTTAATGAACAACAAAAAAACGATAAGCTTATTAGGCTAACATTATAATGTGTAGAAAAAGAATAAAAGATGAAAGGGATACAAGAACAAAATTATCAGCTCCCACTTTTTTCATCCTAGAAGAATATTATATATTATCATCAAAATATGGAACAATATTATATTAATTCTAATGCAGGGAGATATAAAACACATTTCAAAACTTAGTGTTTTTTTTTTTGGGAAGGGGGGCCCTACATTTCATGAGGCATTGAAACGCAGAAGGGGCCCCAAAAAAAAAAAAAAAAAAGGAGAAAAGGGCCTTAATGCCACCCAAAGCCTTCCATTCAGGCTGACTTTTCTTCTCAGTCTAGTAGTAGCAGGCCATCCTTGCATAATAGGAGAAGCTGTTCCGAGCTATATTGTACGTTTCCAAAATTATAATGTCTTCTACAATACAATCTCTACGGAGGAAGTCGTAACTCTCTTCTTATCCTTCTAATTCTATAGAACAGAATCTACAGACATAGAACGCAATACATGCCCCTAATCAAATCATACATATCATTTTAGCCAGAAGAGTAACAACTTCATGAGGGTTAGAATTTAGAAGTAGAAAAGTGACACGTCATGAGAAAATCACTGGATAAAACAAAATGACATTGACGCCTTTGGTCCTAAAGATTAAATTACCACAATCATTATGGCCCGTCCTTGGTTAATTTCAATTTTGGCCAATGATCACTTGAAATTCCTCAAAATGATAAGTACGACAGCAAGAATTTCATCTCCACACTTCTATGGTTTAAAGGAATTAGAAAGGGAAACAAGCAGGATAATAATAAGTCATTTGCCTAGTTGATGAAAAGCACATCCATCCAACAAGAAAGTAAAATACATGCGCAACGGGCAATCGATTATCATATACACGGATTAGACCACCGCGATTCAATTAATGACGACGAAAATGTCCCGGAAGTTAAGAAGGAGAATATAACCGTGGGAAACGTATTACTGGTGTACGAAATCAACAAGCAGGTCTTGCCGACAGCACCGTCGCCAACAGTGACGCACTTGATGAACCTGGACGCACTCATCTCCAGCAAAGAAGCAGCAGATCTTCTACTTCAGGCAAATGCAACCAACGATGTCTCTTTGTTGAGTCTTAGCTTTTCTTCCGCTACTTCAGATGCTCCTCTCGAGCTCATTCAGAGACGCCATGTCTGTGGAGAAAACCCTAGGAATAGCAGATCTGGGAATGAGAAATTGGAGGGCGAGGTTCAGATTAAAGGGAATTGCACGGATGAAGGCCGGAACAGTAACAAAGAATAGAGGAATAAATTTGAAATTTGAAAGAAAGGAGAAAGGAAAATACCAGAACCCTCGAGACCCAAACAGACTTCAAGTCCCAGTCCTCCCAGGACAACCATCAGCCAGCTATATGATACAGAAGTATGACCACTTGGTCCATTTCTCAATTTCTCTCAGCTCATGCATAAAGAATATAGCAAATGACAACTTTGTCTCTTTTTCTTTTACATGTGAATTATGTATTCTTATTCAAGTTTTTTTGGTCTTTGCAGAATGAAGCTTAGTTTTTCCCAATTGTTTAATTTCAGTTCTTTTCATTATTGCACTAAAATATGCACCTAATACTTTTTAATAAAAATTTGGGTTCAACACTTCGTTTAACTGAAATAATTTTTTTTAAAGAAAAAACTAACTAAATGAGTTTTGAATTAACAAAACCACACAGAATAATTAAGATTTAAGGGTACAATTGGAATTTAGAACCTCAATAGGAAACCTCAAGTCAAGCTCGATTTCGTTGACCCTAGATTTGTCCGAATTTGCCAATAACGTCGAGATGAGAAACGATTAACCACAAGAATTGAGAAAAAAGTGATAAAGCTAACAAAACTCAGATAGAATATAAAACAAACAGCAAATTCTTCTTCAAGATTTTGTGTATACATTTTCTATAAACACAACTTCCTGTGAGAGGAATGATGAGAAACAAATATTATACTGTTATTTATCCTTTGGCAGAATATCATACTTAGCGTTACAACATAGGAGTTTCATATTTTGAAACAATGAGATGTGAATTTACATTTACTATATACGTGTATGATCAATTCAATGCTTGGTCACTATTATCCTGTTGTAGACGAACCAGCTGCTTATAAATGCTCTTAGGTTGAGCAATTAGCCTCTCATGGCTACCCATTTCAACCACTCTTCCATTTTGTAACACAGCAATGCTGTGTGCATTTCGAACTGTTAATAACCTGTGTGCAACCAAGATGGTTGTTCGCCCTTCCAGAAGCTTTTCTAAAGCCTCTTGGACCAATCTCTCTGAAACTGTGTCCAGTGCACTTGTTGCTTCATCTAACAGGAGAATAGATGGGTCTTTCAAAATGGCTCTTGCGATTGCAAGCCTTGTTTCTGGCCTCCTGATAATTGCACTCCTCTTTCTCCTACCTCTGTTTGATACCCTTTAGGCATTCTAACGATGAATTCATGAGCATTTGCTGCTTTCGCTGCCTTCATTACCTCAATTTCTGAGGCCTCCTCTTTGCCATACTTGATGTTTTCATATATTGTGGTGGAGAATAATGCTGGTTCTTGTTGAACCAGAGCTATTCTCAGCCTTAAGGACCTCAAGTTGAGGCTTCTGATATCACATCCATCGATCAAAACTCTTCCATGAGTTGGGTCGTAAAATCTCATGACCAGTGAGATCACAGTACTCTTCCCTGAACCGCTTTGCCCGACTACTGCGAGACTCTTTCCTGCTCTAACTTTGAGGTTCAAGTTTTCAAAAATGGTGATTTCAGGTCTCATTGGATAGCTAAAGTGTACATTTTTGAAGTCTATCTCTCCTTTCACATCAGTCATCACCTTTGAGTTGGGTTCATTGGGTGGGATAGATGTTCTCCTTCGGAGAACACTAAAAACTGACCCTAAAACTTGTGATCCTTTGACAATGTCTGGGGTAAGAGCTAGTGTTTCTGCTATTGCCAGAGCGGTGATAATTAAAACCATAAAAGACTTCATAATGTCCCCGAAATTAGATTCTCTGTGCTTGATCAAGACAGAAGCATACCAGAGGCCAAGTGCATAAGAGCAGAAAGCAAATAACTGTGTCACACCATAACCAAACCCTGAGATGTGGCCTCGTAAAAGTGCTTGCTTGTTAGGTTTGTTCAATTCAGAGGCAAATTGGAACGAGATTCGATCTTCTGCACCAAAAGCAGCAACAGTTCGTATATTGGAGATAGCTTCACGTGCCAGCGAAGTTGCTCTAGAGTAAGCTGCACTATAATCTCCCCCGAAGCCCTTAAGAAATAGTTGCTGCAGATTTAAAAGAAAATTTTCAGCACACATATAATATAAAGCACAAGTCAAAGTATGGTTCATAATAAGATATAGTACTAACTTCAGTGATGGAAGCCCCAATAAGCAGAGGCAAGCAAGCTGCAACCACAGCTGTTAGTTTCCAACTCAACGTGAAGGCAATAGCAAATGCTGTTACAGTGAGAGCTACATTCTGTACAATAGTTGAGAGTCTATCTGCCAAAGCACTTCTTACTAACGTTGCATCTGCGGCTAGCATAGCTGTTAATGATCCAGTGTTGTTCTCATCCAAATCGAACCATGCAATTTCATTGGTCAGGATGGCTGCAATTTATATGTTTTAATATTAGTGAAAATGATGAATCAATAACATGCTAAAAAAGTTTACCAATTTCTGTTTTCAAAGTACCTGAAAACATTAATAAGCGTACACGGGCAGTGAGACGCTCTCCCATCAATGTATAAAAGTAATGCTGCAACAGATAAACAGGTACAGTAATAGCAGCAACTCCAACAAATATAAGAGCGACCCGATCGACTTCTTGCTTGATTTTAGAACCATGTGGGGAGTAAAATGCAGTCAAAATATGTGTGATACCAAGAGCAAAGAGAGGAGCTTCCATGCCTGCCATAATTGCACCAATTGATCCAAGTACCGCATAATGCCATTCAGGGGCATTTAGTTTTAGCAAGTCTAGGATGGATGGAACGGACTTTTGATCACTAGGTTGAGGTTCTCTTGTTGAAATGGACTTCAATTCATCGGGGTATTTTTGGTTATCTGAAGCTTCCCGAAAACTTGAATGTCTTGAACTTCCTGATCGAGATATTGCGCTTGAACCTGCCATGGGGTTGTCTGATGCTTGCAAACTCACTAAATGCACATAGTCTCCATTTTTTGACATCAATTCTGAATGAGTTCCACTTTCTACAACCTGACCATTCTTCAAAACCACGATTGTATCAACATCGCGAATAGTGGATAATCGGTGGGCGACAATAATTGTAGTCCGATTTGACATTAATTTTTCCAGGGCCTGCTGAACTATTAATTCTGATTCTGCATCAAGAGCACTTGTGGCTTCATCTAGAAGTAATACTTTTGGGTTTCTGAGCACTGCCCTTGCTATTGCTATTCTCTGTTTCTGACCTCCTGAAAGTTGTGTACCGCCTTCTCCTACCTGAATTAAAGAACACTAATTATCAATCTTCAAACTGAACATTTTTTCCATGTTAACGATAACTTCAACATATCACTTTTCCGCACTTGACATGAGAAATAAAATGATTTACTTTCTTTAAGTTTCATAGCAAGTTCATTGTGTGATTGCTTTGGCTTATTTTGAAGACCTAGAAGAAGGAAGATATACTATGGCTATTAAAGATGATTTTACAATTCTACAAGTAAACCAACTTTTCCATTGTGAGGGTGACATTACCGGAGTAAGATAACCATTAGGTAAGCCTTCAATAAAAGAATGAGCATTTGCAGCTTTAGCTGCTTGTATGATTTGATCCATGTTTGCGTCCTCTTTTCCAAGCAAAATATTTTCAGATATTGTTGTGGCAAATAGCAACGGTTCTTGACTAACCAAGCCCATTTGTTTCCTCCACCATTTCAATTGAAGACTCTTTAGGTCATGTCCATCCAATAGTATCTTACCTAAATAAAAAATTTATGCATTAGCCTCGCATCCTAGTCCTAAATACTGATGGACAAAACTGACGGTATAACCATAAAACATTAAGTTTCATTACCTGAAGTGGGATCATAAAATCTTTGAATCATAGAAATGATAGTGCTCTTTCCTGAACCACTAGGACCAACAACTGCGATAGTCTTCCCTGAAGTTACTGTGAAGGTCAAATTTTCAAAGACCAAGTTTGATCTTGAGGGGTAAGAAAAGCAGACCTCACGAAATTCAATTTTCCCTTCCACTTGTGGCAAAACAATCCCCTTGTCCAAGCTTTTAGACTTGTCTGAAACTGATGCAATCATGTTCATGATATTGGCTGCTGCTGCACGGCCTTTAGCAATGGCAGCGAGGTTAGGCGCAGCTTGGCCAAGAGCACTATAGAGGAAGAATTGTCAGGTTCTAGTTCAAGAAAAAAGTGTCATTTGAAATTAATCATGTCAGGTTTACTTAGAAGGATGACTCACAATCCACTAAAGATGACATTAATGATAGTTGTGAATGCTTTCCCTCCGTTTGTTTTATGGTGCCTCACAAGTATGCTTGCGTACCAAAGAAGTAATGCCCAGGCACAAAACAACAGTCCATATGTTAAGCCTACCCCTACTCCTTTTGCAAAGCCACTCTTCTTTCCCAGCTTCAGACCATTATCAAGTGATTTGGAGTATGAGGAAACTGCTTTATCTTCTCCCACAAATGAGTAAACCGTACGAACCTGAGAAATTACCTGTTCCATCAAAACAAGAAATAGCACATTCATTATCCAAGGCCTAATCAAGAAATTGACTCCTAACAGTGGAACTCTCAACAGAACTGGACTTCACAAAAATTCGATTGAAGTGAAATATACATAGTTACCTCTTCTGCCACTTTCCCAGCTTCCGCATATGCTGCTTCACCTTTTTCTGACAAGGTAGACATGGTTATAGTATAAGCTCCCCCAGCTACAGCTATTAATGGAACTACAGCCAAGGTGAGCAGTGTAAGCTGCCATACTGACGTAAATCCAATGGCAAATCCAACAATGAATTGTGAAAGGTAACGTATAGCGTGGCCTGTCTGCAGTGAAATCAATGATTAATTATGATCAACCAAACAACCTTCGACGATAATATTTGTGTCCAAATGCATAAAACATGACAGACCCGTATGTTTTACCTTGTCACCGATTGCATCTTGTACTAATACTGCGTCACTTGAAATGTGGAAAATGATATTAGCGTCTCTTGCCTCATTGTCGAAGAAATTAATATCCTTTTTTAAAACGGACTGTAGATACTTGAAACGCAAACGAGCTGTTTGCCTCTCCCCTGTTTGCATCCAAAATGCGACCCCTGAAGCATAAAAAGTGATTAGTCAACAAGATCAAAGCACGAACCAAAAGATTAGGTTCAAATTATAGGATCTACCCATCCAAGCCGATGCCAGAACAACCAGTCCAAGGTAGACCAAGTACAATGCATTCTGCAATAGATGAAATTATTTTCAATATGGAGTCATATAGATACAGAATGATGATCAATTGTTATGCTGTTTGGAGTATATAATCATTTTTTTCCCTGAGGAACTTCAGAACTTGGAAGCAAGACCATGACGTGCCACCCGAATAGTCTATTTCAGAATATTCCATGTGCCAAAGGAAAAGAGGAAGAAGACAAGAAAAAGGATTATATATTTATATATATATATATCCATGGAGAACCAAGTACAAGAAGAAAAAGGATTATATATTTATATATGTATATATATATCCACGGAGAACCAAGTACAATGCTGGGATGTCAAAGGCAATGAAACGGGAGGAATAGTTCACAGCATTGAACCAGTAATAAATATAGCAGCAACAGTATTCATGGAGCAAAACAGTGCGTGACAAGGGACCCATGAGAGAGAACTAAAAGATGGTTGTAACTACCATACCTCAGAAATGCGTGACGACAACTTATGAGGATGCTTAGAAAGATGCCCTAAAGAATCAATCATACGACCGAACAAGATGAAGAATACAGGAAGAGCGGCGCCATGAACGCACGCACCAACACTTCCCAAGAACATCAAGACATAGTCAATTGTATCTGCAGCAGAAAACAAGCCAAAGAAGGAAACACTCTCTGGTTTGCTTGCCTTATTAGATTGTTGGTTTTGTTCTGAATGCGAATGAGAGGCAAGCTCAACTTCTTCCATGGCAAGTAATTCACGTTGAAGTTGCAGGCTTGCGGATGATGAAACCCACACAGGGGGGAGAGAGAGAGAGCAAGCAGCTAAAGAAGCCTCATAAGCATGAGGCTAATAAATGACAAGACCTTAACTACGCCAACTGAAAACACGGCTCCATTAATGCCGTTATGAAAAGCTCGACGTCAGGTAGTAAAATGGCGAATGAGTGGCGCTCCAAGCGAGCACGTTACCTACTGATTAAACACTGTAATTGATAATAAATAATAATCCTCATCAGCAATTAAGTCAACTAACTAATGCCGATTTTGTTGCTCAAATAGTCCATATATTTCATCATGTCACTAGCCACTTGCGGGCCAAACATAGAGCTCAGTAATTAACTAGATTTATTACTGAGGTTGGGGGTCGCAGTCGAACAATGAGTGAATAGCTTGAAAGTTGAAACCACCATTCCACCAAAATGATTGAGACGAAGAACTTTTTCCCCAAAAGGATGACCCTGAAACTGGGGAAAATTACAAAAGAATAATTACACTCTGTCTCTGGATAATGAGTTGCATGCGACTCAAGCAAAAGCTTTTATTGGTGATGGACTCATGAGCTGGTGGTCCCTAACGTGATATTGGCCCGTGGTAGTCCAGAACCTGCGAAGGGAAACCAAGTATGGGGCTGAGATTTACTGGACTTTATGATGGATTCTTGTAGTCCTCTCATGCCTTTGTCGACGGGACAACCTGGAGTGTAATAAAAGACCAAACCAACTTATGAGGCTCAACTTAACGGGACTGATCTGTGAAGATGGTTCAGTAATAATCATGTTTGTTGTTGGTATCGGAGTTTCACTTACATTCATGGTTTCTACAACTAATTAATCATATATGGATGAGTTATATATACATGTATGTATGTGTGTACATATAGATATATGTAATCATATATGAGTAAGTTATCCGTGATGCATGGGAATCCCATGAAGGTGACAGCAAATTAAGAAACGTTCTTTTTCAGTTTTGAAATCTTTCATAGACATCTTGGATAGCCAGAGTAACTGTTTGGATATGTAAACTTTATTGAATCGAGTTGAAGAATGTTTATCAAACAACACAAAACATTTCATTGTTAATGTTTGCAACATCTCAGTGATAAGTTCAATTAAGAGTTTACACATTAGAATGTCACATCAGAAAAGAATTATATATTAGAATGACATGTAGTCATCACCCGCAGATACGTTTTAATTAAGAAAACAAAGTGAAACTTATTCTTGTACTTCCAAAAAATAAATACATCAAAAAAGTTACGCCGAATTACAAAATGTTGATGTTGTGGTTTGATGTTGCGTTTAGCTACTTCAACCTCATCATTGTAAGATATATATATATATATATATTTATATATATAAAGAATGGTAAAGAAACAAGAGTTAGAGTTATTCAATATCCTGAAATTTTTTTAAAATATGCATCCAGTATTTTAAAATATTTTGTAGTTAATCAAGAACTATAAAAAATTTCATGTGTGTCTAGATCCTAAAATATTTTGTGGTTCAATTTCTTTCTTTAAAATATCAAGGTACTACACGTCCTTAAAAAGTATATACATTACAAGATGCTAGACTAAGATAGCCGAAGAAATAAATGTTTTTAACTAGTCGAACACTCTAGCAAAATTGATATAAATTAAATATTTAATGAAAAAAAGATGTGTGGATGGCTTCTCAACTACTCATAGTTGGTATAGACTTAGCTTCTAGAGATGGCAAATCAATGAGAATTAATTTAGATTCTTCAACACTTGTTCCCTCCTCCATAGATTTCAAGCTTATAACCCTTGTGAATAGGGAAAAATTTGTCATTAAAAGAGGGTCATGAAGCCCATATTGTCCAGCATGGTTCAGCAAGATTTGGTTAAAATTTAACATGGCTACCAAAACTTGATGGGTTTACCCAAACATAAAAGGGTATACAGAAAATGATAAAGGGAGACTCCTTTGAGGCAGGAAGGGAAATAGATGTGTAAAGGTATGCTCACACCATAGTTAGAAATTTTCATCATTGAACACGTCTTTCATTTCCTTGGTTCACCAATCTACTAAGACCCACCAAACCTCTAAGGCTCTTAATTATTGAATTACTTGTGAGGGTGAATAGGAATAGTACAGACCCACCTCAAAAGGGTGAGTACAAGTTCTATATTAAAACAAAAGAATTTTCCTTCACTCCATTCTTCATTGGCAAAGTTGAATAGAAAGAATAAGTAGGTGAGTCAGAAACACCTGCGCTGTTTAGTGCTTGTTCTTTTATAAAAGGAAGGCTGCTCCTCATATGGTACACCCTAGACTCAGAGACTCACAAGTAACCGTGTGAAATAACACTCTCACTCCCAAAGAGCTTTTATCAGATTCTTAATACAAATGACTAAAATGAGTATTTTAAGGAAGCCAATAAATATTTTTTATAAATAAATAACTTAGTTAATTTTTTGAATCTCAGCAAATTACTTATATATCTAACTCTGATATTAAGATAAAAAAAAAGTAATTTTTTATTGTACTTTGAAGAACTGATACTCTCTCCAATTTTAAATATAGAGGCTATGTAACTAATTCACACATATTGTCAAAATTAGGCTAGATGTATAATTTATTAAAACAAATAAATCTTAGGTCAAATTACTTATATTTATTAGGTTAAATTTTCAAATTATATTTATTATTTTGCTATTGTTAGTTTTAGAATGCGTATCTATACTTGTAAATTCACCTATGAATTTGACCTAATGAATATGGGCAATTTAACCTAAATTTTATCATAGAAAATTATTTTTTGTCCAAAATATCCCTCAATTTAATCATTATTATGTTGAAATCTGCCCAATTGATTGTACACACATTAATAGAAGTTTGAAAAAAAACTAAATATAAAGGACAAAGAATATTGAAATCTTATATATTAAGATCAAAATAAACTTAATTAGCTCCTACATTAGGTATGGATGAATTAAAAAAACGTGGCCTTCTTTTCAACTATTTCTCATTCTGATTTTTAAAAATTTTACCATTAAAAATTTTTAAATTTTCAGAAATGCTTGTGTCTTGTGATGTGGAGCTGGGGAAGAGGAGAGGGGAAAAAAGGTAAAGGCAGGCCGAGGAGAGAATGGGGGCCATTGTTAAAGACTGGAAATTTTGAAGTCTAAAGCCACTCCATAACTCTAGGCAACAGCTTTTAGCTCCCCAGATGCACAGCTACGAAAGAAAGAAAGAAAGAAGACAGTGGGATTTTATTCTGTATCATTTCATGACATGATGATATCTCGGAAGAACTTTGTCTCAGTTTAAAGTGGATTCTGTGCTCTTCAAAATAGTTTGAAAAAGCATGCCTATTAATAATTTATTTATGAATAATTTCACTTTACAAATGTATAATTTAAAAAACAATGAATGTGTTACACCTCTTATTCAAAATTAATTATATTCACTATTTATTAAATTAAATAATCATCAATAAATTGTAAAATCAAAATGTACGAATAGTCAACAAAAGATTCAGTCCTTCAAATTCAGATTCCATAATGCATTTTTTGACAACTTTATTGAAAGGTTCCCTTTTGAAGGATGGTTATTATTGGCATTTTTTGTTTTTTCAGCAAATCTAACACCACGCTCCCCCCCCCCCCCCCACCCAAAAAAATTGATCCTAAAATCCAACACCACGCCGGGTAAGTGGCAAAGGAGTTCCAATCCGAGTCGGGTTTCTGATCGGTTGACGGAACAAGCCCGATTACTGGCTGATCCGATTGTCCACATTTGTCGTGACCGTCTGGTCAGAACCCCTTCATTAAAAAAAAAAAAAAAGTCAGTGACAGCGCCTGGCTTCGCACGTGATGATGCCTAACCTAGGAGCCAATTGGGCTAGGAAATTCAGGGAAGTTTTCAAAACAATTTTTCTTTTTAATATATTTCGAAGAAGAAAAAAATGCTCGTCTTCTTTGCTTTGATTTAAAAAAAAAAAAAACCTAAAAATAAAAAGCTTTCACGGAGGACAAGACGAGGTCGTGAAAAAAACTCAGGAATAGGGAGGAGAGTGCCGAGCTGGAGACAGGGAAAGCCCCAATTTGACTCTGAAGAAAGAATATTCTAGAATTCAGGCGACAAAGAATGGCTGCAGCTTCTCCTTGTTAGCTGAGAGTCAGAGCTAGGGTTTCGATTTGATCGACAAAGGTGAACCCGGTGTTACAATTCTCTGCTTTCGTTTCTCGCTGATTTCCTCCTTACTTCTTTTGCTATCGATTTGATTTGGTTTCTAGATTCTGCTTTATTCATTACTTATCTCAGCATTTTAATTACATCAAATTACGCATTAAGTCTGTTTCATTTTACAATCTGACACACCCCTGTCGAGCAGACGAAGTTTTGATTTTTAAGGGGTTTCCACATCTTTAATAGAACGTACAATTCTAGGGTTTCGCTCTATTTGTGTACGACAATAGCTTCTACCATTTTTGAATTCACTTGCTATTCTTGTTTAAAATTAGGTGACAATATTGTGTTATATGACAAGATTTATTTATTTATTTTCATAAATTTCCCTTTTTTTATTTAATAATGGTATTATTTGTGCGGGGTTATAATTTTAGCTCTGAACTGGTGTTCTCAGTGAAGTACTATTTATTCAGCGATTGTGATTGAAAAGTTGCATTTTTAATTTAATTGAAATATTGTACCAGTCCTTCAAGTGGCTGTTAATCTTAGTATTGATATTGGCCATTAGAAAAATAAAATTTGCTTTTGATTTTTAACTTCTGCTTTAGTCCTTGTTTTCTCTTGTCTCCCCTCTGGAAGGGTGTCATTTGCTTGTAATTTGTTGGTGATAGCAGATAGGTTGGCTTGGCCTGTTTAAAACATCTCAGAATCCATTCTTCTCCCACAACAGAATTAGAATTGGAAAATTTCAAATTTCATCTGTATACTAGGCTGTATTTCTTGTATGTAATTGGCAACATTTTTCTCCTGCCACGGTTTTTGATGGATTTTGATGAAATATCTGTGGTGATATGTGAATTAGGCTACTGATGATTTATTTTAGTTATTTTTATTCATCGACTATGACTTAATGAGGCATTGGGATTTTCTTTCCTTTTGTTCAAACTTTGTTGTTATTGTTTGTTATAAGAATTCGAGGCATTTGTATAGTATGAAATGGATTGTGATGCACTTTGCCCCTTTGACTCAATTGAATGCCTTCCAAATGCATGTAGATTACCTTCAGACTTGTATTCAGATTAGTTTCAACTCGCCGATGCATACACACACATTTCAGTGAAACTGAATACATTGATCATCAACCTTCTTTCATTCTGTTGATCAGAATCACCAAATCAATCAATGAAATTTCTATATGATAATCGATCTGTAATTCTGTATTGTCATCATAATAGCTCAATAGACACATGAAAGAAAGGTGGACTGTCACAATAAATTTCATCTGTCTGTGGTTTATTAATATTTTAGTGTTGAGCTGGCTTATTATATATTGTTGTGCTTTGTCTTTCATTTGCAACTTTCTTACTTGTTCAATTGTGCATATATTATCGTTACTTAAGTGAGTTTTCTATTGGAATTATGTTGAGTAGGGCTGGAGAAATAGCCAAAAGTTAGCTGACTTAAGCTCTGGAAGCTTGTGAATGATTGAAGAGAGTTAAAACTGAATGATAGTGGTAGTAGCTGGAAAAGAACGGAAAGTATGAGCATTATGTTACACTAATGATCATTCAGAGTAAGTTAGTCTTAAGCTGTTGATAATCTGTTGACATAATTTATAAATATGAATCAAACTTGATGTTCATGAATATTGTTTGAGCATCAATTTAGTCATGGACTAGTCTGTTTATCATTTAAACTGGCTAAAAATTTCTCTATCAATGAAATGCTGTAGCAGGGTGGCTTATGCACTAGCTTGATTATTAAAATCGCCCTTTTATGTTAATTGAGCAAGATAAGAAGTCTCAAACTTGATGTCATCTGTTGATCGATATCAATAGGAATGGGGGTATCGTTGCCCTTGTATTATTTTTAGCTTTTTCCACAATTAGCTTTTGAAGTATACATTAGGCATGTATGAGTTTCTCACTGTCTAAGTTCACTTTAAGTGTAGCCACTACCAGCAAAGAATAAGTAATTACAATCGTGATGCTGATGTTATATCAACTAACCTAGCATCTCTTAATGAATTGGAAATGATATTATAACTAAGATTATGCTGTTTGGCCATCTCAGATTTTGGTTTTGTGAATATATATATATATATATATATATATATGGAAATGAGTCCTCTTCAGTCGCTACAAATGCCCAACTTTGAGAACTTTTTGTTTTCCTGTTATATAGTTGAATACGTAAATGTAACTTGAGGGCTTTTGTGCTTGATTTTGTGCGTTTGATATATTTTGCCTTGAGTTTGTATGCATACTTTGGGGGTTATGTTTGGGAAAGAAACATAAAAAACACAAACTTTTCCCCCCATTTCTCAATATGCTGTGGAAGCTGTCAAACATGCTAATGTGTAAAGCTTCCATTGAATGCTTTAGCTATGCAAGTTATCTTAGTCAATAGGTTAGCCATAATTTCATATTCATCATATAAATGACTTATATCTCAAGAGAACTCAATGACGCATCATGTAGTTACTTTACAGTCGGTGGCAATCAAATTGGTGGTAACTTGGGCCTGGTGGAGAACTCTCGTCTGAGACCTAGGGGTAGATATTATGGGGGTCAGAGCTGTGGATAGTTGATACAAGTCAATGATTTTACCTTAGCTAGTTTCTGAGTATCCCAAAGTGAATTAATTGGAAACAAAGAATATGGCCATATGTTTCAGTATCAAGGGCAGGGCTTGATATGGTATCTTATAAATGCTATGGAAGGAATCATTAGCTTAAATCAGGTTTTGAACCGTTTTTTCCTATCTCATTTCATGTCTTTGAATATTGACCCTTGTGAATAAGTCATTGTTTATTCATGTTCTTGCTTTCGATCTATATGTCGTGAAAAACTGTTTGTTGTGTCTTGTCCACTGTATTTCTTTCAGATTCGATTGAGATTAAACCTTAAAGGATGAGTGGGGTGACTTGAATGTTAGTTTCTTGATGTCATGTTATCTTATTTGCATCTGATCACTTGCTATTTGCCCTGAGTTTTGCGAAGCTTTCTGGCTGAATGAAACTGTTAGATATGCTACCATAGTTGGTCAGCTTGCATCTCTAGATTTGAGGACTGAACAGTATGTATTTCTTATTTGCTGTTGGTTTATTTTTATTGTTATTGTCACTTGGGTACTTGATTTGTTGTGTGTTCTGATTTCTTGCTCGGATTCTGGATGAAATTCCCCTTCCCCAAATGAGTGTGTCTACATATGTAAACTCTGCAGAACATGATTCACCAAAATGCTTATCTACTTTGTTATCAATCTTTGCAGTGCTTTGGAACGTTTGTTCCCAAAATCCCTTGATGGTTATTAATGGAAGAAACGGTCTTGTCATTTCAAACTGATGTCACTGATGCTCTGAGAAGGGTCATGTGAAGCAGAATGACACTCGAAGATTTCTTTACCTTGACTGAGATGAAAGATGGCCTCACAGCCCCTACTCGAGTGCAGGAGTTGGTCTCTGTGATGCAGAAGGAGAAAGATTGTGGTGATAAGAATGTTGGCGATGCAATGAGGCAGTGGGCTGCTGTTGCAAGCACTATTGCTGCGACAGATAATAAAGACTGTCTTGATCTTTTTATTCAATCAGAGGGGCTTTGGTTCATTAACAGGTGGTTACAGGATGCTCAAAGTGTTGGTGACACAAATGAAAGTTTCATTGAAGAGTCTATTACTGCACTGTTACGAGCAGTTCAAAAGTTGCATCTAGACTGTGAGAAGTCAATGTCATCAGGGATTTGGGTTACTGTGAAAAATCTTCTTGGCCATCATAGCTCTAGGGTTCAGGATGGAGCAAAAGTATTATTTGACAGCTGGAAGGTGGGTGGAAATGGAGAAGCTGATTCTCATGATATGGACCTTGTTAGAGTTGATAATGAGAGTGACAAGATTGTTGGGGAGGAAGGTCAACCATCTGCTCTGAATGAAGCCAATAATGAAAATGATCGTACATCAGGACTCGTTGCTGATGAGAAATCTCCATTGAGAAGCACAGGCAGTCTACAACCAGAACGGAATGCTAGTGTACAAATACAGAGTTCTAGTAGTAGTCAGCTCCATTCCTCTGGAAGTTTGGATGGTGAAAACATCAAAGAGAGATCACCAGACCATCTTGCTAACGTTTCAACTTCAACAAAGGAAGAAGCTGGTCCTACAAAGGAAGAATCGCCTTCATGCACTGTGAGTGAGACCCCTTCAGCTGGGTCCCATAGCTTTCCTCATCCAAAGCAAGGTAATTTTGAAGGAAAATCAGATGTGAAGACTTCAAATGATTCATCCAAATTGGAGAAGCAGGAACTAAATTCCAATGGTCCTCTAGAAAAACTAGGAGTTGCAGAGATTTCGTCGGGGTTAACAAAACCAGGGCCTGGACCTATTCATATGGATGCTAGTGAAGCAAAAGCACCAGAATTTGTGGATGAACCTGTTTTACATCATAATGTTGAAAACAATGAGGATATAGTCTGTCATAATGCCACTGCTGCCAGTAGCATGAAGACACATGCATCAGATAGGAAGAGTGGGGTTGACGATACTAGAGCTCTCAAGTCTAGTAGTCCAAAACTTCCCAAGGCTGCAGAAAATGATGATGGCTGTTGTACCAATGCATTGCAGGAACCATCTGTAAGTGGCGGTAACTTGGGAAAGCCTGAGGTATTTGATATGTCTTTCTCCAGAACAGAATATACTAGTGCTATAAAGGAAGATTCAGGGCATATTAGTAATGAAGGCAAGGAAACTTCAAATGTTTCTGATCCTATTAAACCACGAAAACATCGTAGAAGCCCTAATATGATTGACAGGAAAACTTCTGATATTGAACTTGATTATGGTATTGTTGATGCTTTAGAAGTTGCACGACAAGTTGCTCAAGAAGTTGAACGGGAGGTCTGCAGCTCTTCTGAGAAAATCTCAGGAGGAGGAACTGGGCAACCACACAGTCCCGATTCTGTTGGAAAAGATGATGCCTCCACTTGTGTTGAGCCTAGGGAGGTCCCATCCAGACAAAGTTACTCTGCTGAGGTAGGTTCTAAGGAGGAGAGGCATGCTAATATTTCAGATGATGTTGAGGCTGAGATAGGATGCGTTCCTGATGTGGAGTCCTCGCATGTGACTGAATCAGCTTTAGATCCTGGAGGTAATTCAGAGAAAAATCTCTGTGCTTTTGATCTCAATGAAGAATTTGGTTCTGATGATATGGATAATTCTGCAAATGTAATGTCTACACCGATACCCATTGTATCTGCTTCAAAGCCTCAAGCAACTCCTGGGTTGCCTGTGGCCCCTTTGCAGTTTGAGGGGACTCTTGGATGGAAAGGATCTGCTGCAACCAGTGCCTTTCGTCCTGCATCACCTCGTAAAAACTCTGACAGTGAGAAGAATATTTCCATCAGTGGGAACTCTGATATTTCCAAACAAAGGCAGGATTGCCTTGATATTGATCTGAATGTTGCTGAGAGTGAAGATGGATTGGGAAAACAAGTTGCTGAGTCGTCTGGGCTTCCGTCTGGTCAATCTTCAGCGGAACTTAGTCCTATGAGATCAAGGAGGCTTGAATTGGATTTGAACAGTGTTGGTGATGATGCTGATGCTCAACCTTCAGATCAGAGGACGGAGGGACAGCTCTTATGTAGCAGAATTGGCCGTTGGAGCCCGTCACCTGCATCATCCACATCGTCAATGCAGCCTTCTGTCAGAAACATTGATTTGAATGACAGGCCATACCTTCAGACTGATTTGGTGGACCAAGGGCCCAGTAAGTCTCCTCATATTATAAATGCATGTGGGGTTACTAAACCAGATGCGCCTGTGATCTCTCTCTTGGGTACCAAAGTAGAAGTTGGTAGGAGGGAAACTAGGCCTTCTCCAAATGGCAAAGCTACGGAGTCAGCAATTGATCTAACAATGTCAAGAGATGGTGTGTTAGGGATGGGTTCCACAGTATCTTACAGCCATTCACCTGCATTCGGATATAATGGGTTAACAACAGTTTCTCCTTTGTCTTTTTCATCTGCAATGTATGGTTCAGGTGGCACAGTTCCATACATGGTGGACTCAAGGGGAGCCCCAGTTGTACCTCAGGTGGTGGGATCTTCCCCGACTCTCCTGTCGTCTTACTCCCAGCCTCCATTCATGATGAACGTGACCGGTGTGCAACTTGGTTTGAATGGGGTTGGGCCTTCACGTCCTAACTTTGACCTGAACTCTGGCTTCACGAATGAGGGAGGAAATAGAGAGGCATTGACTGCGAGACAATTTTTCTTTCCTGGTCAGAACAGGGCTATAGAAGAGCAAGTGAGGAACATTCACCAGCCCTCAAGTTCTGGGGTTGGTGGGAAAAGAAAGGAACCAGACAGTGGTTGGGAAACCTACCCGTTCAGCTACAAACACCCGCAACCTCCATGGAAGTAGATCCTAATTTATCTGATATGTTTATAAGCACGCCCTATCAATTGATGCTTATATAACTTAAAACCTCGAGTAGGGTTGTCTCTTGGCATCCTTCACCAGGAGAGGAACCAGAACTCAATAATAGATGGAGGAAGGTGGATGTAATATGACTCGTGAGATCGATTGTCAAAGGGAAATTTAGGATTTTTTTTTTCTTTTTTTCGCCCCCCATTGTTTTATCTTTCCTGCAGTTTCATCATAGAAGGGTCGGTGCAAGAACAGTAGGCTTGGTACATGTAGTTGTAATTTCTCCTTCATATGTCAAAGGAATATATAGGTAAAGTATTCCCTTTTCTTGTTGTCAAGTGGAGCTTCAGTGCATAACCACAGCCGTAGGTGATTAATTATTAGTGAGGGTTGTCGTTATTCAAAGTAATAACCTGTAAAGAGAGAGAACGGAACAAGGCCCCCCTCCTGGCAGACTTTCCCGTTTCAAATTTTTCTGATTGCTTAATTTGCCCATCCTAACTCAGCTTCCTTTAATTGTTTGGCTACTAGCCTCTTTTATAGAAAGTCTTGCGGATATGATATTCTCTTTGCCAATGGAAGCTCTCAATCTTAAAAAGCTCTTCCTTCTTTCTTTTTTTTTGTTTTTTTTCCAATGTATCCCTTTCTACATGCCAGTGGACTACTGATGATTTTGCAATAAATTAATTTGTGATGGATATTTTATGTATATTGGAAAATTGATTGTAAAAGAGTGTAACAGCATCGCATGATTGATGAATAGGGCCTGTAGTGATTGTTGCTTAACGATTTATAATCCGCTGTCTAATTGGTTAATCTGGATTCTGGAGAGAGGATGAGATCCCAAGGGCGACGGGCGAGTATTTCGATGGTGGAGACAGTGCAAAGAAATCTCCATGGCTGATAAATCTGAAGTCGGAAAATATTAAATATTCTTCTTGATATTCAATTTGCTTTTAAATATAAGATCTTTATTTATTTTGTCTTTCATATTTATTCATTTTTTTAAATAATGTTTATAGTAGCTGCACGTGTTAAAGGTTTCATCAAATAATAATTATAATTAATACATATAATTAACAAAGATATTTTAGAAAAGACTAGTTATTTATTATGAATAACTAATTTCATTAATTTTTGTAATCTACTTAAATTAGTTAGGAGGTAGTATTAACTATTAAATATGTCAACGGAAAGGAAAGACGAGTTTTAGAAGGGACACGCGGTGAAAATAATAAAGAACATGTTATTGGTAGATAAACTTAATTAGAACTGAAGCGGCCACTCAATGCTCAGTATGATCTCATTCACAGGACAAAGAGAGAAAACATTTATCAATTTTATTTATAGGGTATTAGGAAAAAAATTTTATATAAATATATAATTTTACCTTTCATTTATTATTGTATTAACTTTGTTTACATGATATATATTAAATAGAAATAAAGTTAAAACAATTATTAAATTTTTAAATGAGAGTTAATAAAGTTTAAGAATTTTTTTTATATATATAATATATATTAGAAATGATTTGTAAATAAGATTAAAAGAATACAGCTAAAACTAAAACGTCATCAGTTTCGAACTCAGGAAGCACGTGAGTAGAACTATGCAGTGTTGAACAAATTAAAGCAAGAACGTTCTTCTAAATAAACATAAACTCAAGTACTAACTCCGGTTATTAATACGTCCAAGTTATCACTTTCTCACACATCATGTGCTTGAACTGTGCATATTATTCCATCCCTTACGTTCGGCATGTTGGGTACAAGGTAATTGGGAAATGAAAAAAAAAAATTAATAAACTCGGTTCAAAAAATTAGAGAAACAATTTTAATTAAAAAAAAAGATGTAAGTTAAAATAATAAGAAAGATTAATTAAAAACTTTAAACCCTACTTATTCAAGTCTTTAAGTTGAACTTAATTATTAAAAAAAAAATTTTCCTTCCCTTCGCCTTCTTCCCCTTCCTACCAAATGCCTTGCTAAAGGGCAACAAAAGTCTCACAACAACAATAATAATAATCCAAAACAAAAAAGTCTCGTGAATCTAAGGAATACGTAAGGAATCCGCAAATAATAATAACAATAAATAAGTGATTCAAATCTACAAAATTTAAAACACATCACGAAAGTACTGTTGCCCCATGAGAGCAATCACAAAATTTATGAGCATTCTGAACGGTACACCAGTATGATCATTAGCGCAATATAATCAAACTAAGCATACCATTAATTAGTAAAAAAATATATTTGTTTTGCTTACTTAAAAGAATTAGAAATAAATATATTAAAGTTGCACATATATATATCTATTGTTTCAATAATTTATAAACTTTTATTCATCTAAAACTTAAGTCGCTCAAATTTTATTCAAATCCTATATTTAATTCAGTTGAAAAACCTAAATATGCATACCATAACAGATGTTACTTAAAAAATAATTTCACATATAAATATCTATAATTCAGCGATCACCGTGTAATGATTTAAGAACTAATTGGCTCAGAGTTTAAGAAGTCAAAAACAACAAAACAAAAAGAAAGCACGCCATTATGCATCTCTTCAATCCATATTCACACATCCTCTTATTACCAGGCTGTTACTTTATCACATTTCTGTTTCATTACTACTTACTCTTTTGAGCTTTTCCTTTATCTCTGGACCACCCCTAACAGATCATTCTATTTTATTCTTTTCTCTAGGATAAAGCAAAAGGTTTAAGTTGGAACATTTGATATAAGTCGCTTTACAAATGAGAGATTACGTGTAATATATATATATATATATATATATAGAGAGAGAGAGAGAGAGAGAGAGAGAATAAAATCATACCCATAGACCTGTTTTTGCCTTGTGTTAGCTGATGAGTCAAGCATCATTAGCCACCAGCAATTAGCAGTTTAGAATCACACGACTTCACCCCCTTCGCCAACCCTATTTTTTTAATCGAGCTTCCATATGGATATGCTTGACGCAAACAAATTAAAGCCTCTGAACTAATTTCAATATATATATATATATGTACACAAACCTTGGCCCCTCTGAATATTAGTCCTTAATATAAAAACTAATTGATTAATTTGAATAAATTAAGAAAATTTGTTAAGTTAATTATTTATAATAAATAGGTATTATTTTTCTTAAAATATCATACTAATATAAAAACTAATTGATTAATTTGAATAAATTAAGAAAATTTGTTAAGTTAATTATTTATAATAAATAGGTATTATTTTTCTTAAAATATCATTGTTAATCATGTATATTAGTTAGAACTATTATTTGATGGAATATTTAATATATACAATTACTAAGAGGACTACTACAAAATAAATTGGGATCTTATATTTAGGACTAAATTAAAAATATAAAGATATTAAGAAATGGAGGTAGTATATCATAAGTGGGGAATGCTTAAAGCACCTTAATCTCATCCTATTTATAATTAACAAAAAATACACCGACAATCCAAAATATCATATAATTTGACATACTTACAGGGAGGGAATAAGAAGATAATCTTTCTTCCTCTTTTTATTTTGCTTTTTGTTTTTGTTTTTGTTTTTACCGTTCGTCTTCACGAAGGAATGTGGTGGTGGGGAAGCCTGAACCGGATCTGAGACGCCGGCGACCGGACCGCCACTCCATGCCAGCAGATACCGCCCTTGCACGTCTGATCATGGTGAGGGATGTTGTGAGGTTGACGGTGACGAGGGGTTTGATCCCGCGGGAATGCATACGTGGCCTTACGTGACACGTCCCACGTCAGCGTGGCCACCAGGATGAGGGCCACCACGGTGGTCGACACCATCATAACAAACCAAGTGCTCAAGCTTCGCCCACATACTAGCCCGTAGACTTTGATTCCGGCGATCACCGCCACGTAGATCGTCATCAAATTTCCCGCCACCGTATCGGACACCGCCATCGACCAAGCAGAAGAAGATGATGATGATGAAGACCAAGAGATAAAGAGTGTGTGTGTGTGTGTGGGGTAAAGCAATAGAGGCCCCGCGAGCAACGCAAATCTTATATATAACGAATCGTTTCGGGAATGTTGAAGTTTTTATTATTACCTAGGACGGGGTCCCAATTCCTGAATTTATAAAAACGGCCCTTATCGTTGGGTGAAGTGAATCACATCATTATCATCAACTAGGGCTTATCTTTGCCTCTCTTTTTTTTTTTTTTCCTTCTCAAAGCTCTTTCGGCTTGGCTAGAGCAGAGCTTATCTTCACTCCCTCTAGAATTGGAAAGGCTGGTAGTAGGGGTAAACTGTGTTACCCTTCACCCGCCAATCTGTCCTGGTCCAACCACGTAACTCCACCTGTCCTTCAGTTCTCATACGTGGTTCATCACTAGTGTTTGGCTTTTTTTTTTTTTAATTCCATTGATAAAAAAAGTTGAAAAAGAAAAACACACACTTGTATTTCGTTTTTATGTCCAACAAGGCAAAAACTGAGCACCACCGACTGTGGGAAGTTGGTGCATACTTTCTTATCCTTTATCTATTCAATTATATTTTTTTAAAAAATATTTTTATATAAATATATATATATTCTTTTTTTACTGATTATATTTTGTCTCGTATCAATGACACGTTGCTTAAGTGACAACGCTAATCATTATTCGTCCAAACTCGAGCTTGACCTAAGCATGTTTATGTGCTATATGTTTAATTATATAAAATAAAGAATTACATTTTATCTGAATTTAATAATTAAATCTGCCCAAAAATTGACAAAAAAAAAAAAGAAGAGAAAAATCTCTCAGCGTCGTTGTCAGCCCAATTAATAATCGAGGACTGGGAGGGAGTCAATAAGATTAATTATGTTCACCTTGTGAAACTCATTTTCTGTTGGTTAAATTAAGGTTCTCATGTGTACCTTGTGAAAAAAAGGCATAGTGAATGTAATCAATGAAAACGATCGGTGCATATGAATAGGCGGACCGATTAAATGATTTTAATTAATTGTGGGATCTTTTAAGGTAACGTGTTAATATTGGAATTCATATAACCATAGCATTCATTAATGAAAACTATATGAGCCGTATGTCACGTGAACATCTTAAAAATTAAAAGTAAATTATATCATTTACTTATCCCAGCACGTTAAAAAAAAGCTTTAATCATCTAATTTCACCCTATTTGCAGAACAATAAATTTGGGGATAAAATTGTATGTTTATATAATAAATTTACCGAGACAAGAGAATAGGAGGGGGAAAAAAGTACTCTCTCCGTTTTAAAAATAGAACCAGAAGAGTTTAAGCTATTAATGTGCACTGGTTTTTCTTGCATGCAAATGGGCAACTCCATGGATCACGTTCCCTAAATTCGGTGTGATTAATAGGTCAATGGCCAATTCAATTTTAGTTAGGTTTATATATTAATCTCGACAGCGATGTTTGAACTTTCTCTTAATTTGTTAAATTAATATTTCGGTGCTTCTTAATTTTAGTTGAAATTTAAAATTGATTCTCTTTACAACTTTAAAATATGTCAAAATGATCCTTTAATTCAACCTCCGTCTCAAAGTTGCCTTTAAATTCTTAGGTGCATTGTTAATCGAGTTCATGTGAAATGAACCAATTTCGAAGTCTTCATCAGGGCCAAAAACATACTCTTCTGGTATTTACTTTAGAAACTAATTATTGAGTTAATTTTGATCCTAAATATAAGACCTGTTTCTTATATTTATCAATTTTTTCTAAATTATCTCTATAGATACTCCATCAATCATAATCAAGTACAAGAGGAAGAGACAATATTAAGGAAGATGGTTATTAAGGAAGATGATTATGGTGTTTAAAAAAAAAACATGTCACATTTCTTATAATTAACTAACTTACCTAACTTTTTCATTCTAATTAAATCAGTTAAATAGATTTTATATTAAGAACTGGAGGAGTATTATGTCAAATTAATTAACGTCAATAAATAAGAATGAAAAGGCTTTGAATCTAAACATGTGATCCGGTAAAGCCCGACCAATTAGTTGGAGAAGTCTTTGGAGCTGCAAGTATAAACAAATATGGAAAACTATTATTTTATTTTATTTTCAAGATACTACTAATTTAATTACATATTGGGAGTGGGGAAAGTGGACGTGGACGGAGGTGGCCTAATTATAATCTGATTTGTTACCCTGCTGGGAGGTCCGGGTTCCAATCGGAGGAACGTTCGTGAATGTGAATCAACTTGGGAATCTACAAGATAGATTTGGAGCCATGAACTCACCTATGCACGGTTCTCCAATTCATGAATCTCCCCTGTGGTCCAACTCCTTCCCTTTCTTATGCATTTTTATGAATATTAATAGACCTAGCTCGGTTCACTTAATTATACAAGTTTCGGCTTTTACAGATGGACCCCTCTTTATACAATGACATACTTCCCTGATTCTTTTTATAAGTCACTTCTAACATATTTCACATAGACCAGGTAAAACCTTAAACTTCATTAACTCTTATTTAAAATTCAACAACTTTTTAATTTTATCCCTATTTAATATATATTATACCTCATGTAAACAAAATCAATACAATAATAAATAAAGGGTAAAATGGTACATTCATGCAAAATATTTCTCTCAATGTCATATAAATAGGACAAAAAATGTTTTCTCTTCCTGTTTTATAAATAAGACCAAATGAGTGTAAGTTTAACTTCTCACCCTTTTTTATCTAATATATGAGAAATTCAATTACCCATTGTATTTACAGAGAATCAAACGAGCAACCTCTTGTTTAAGAAAATTTTAAAAAGAAACCCTATATTATTAGGTCATAGTCTATCACTTTAATCCATCGCACTGCCTCCTATTGTAAATATATAAGACCTTATATTTAAGATTAGAATTCATAAGTAGTATGTTGAGCACCATGCATCTTTAGTTCGATTTTTGACTTCTTGAGGCAAAGATTTGGGAATTGGATTTCAGTTTTTCATATGTTTTAGGAATTCTATATATAATTTGGATATTTATTGAGGTTCATGTCACACCGCCCCCGACTTCATCGGATTGAAAGTGTACGGTGGCAGTAATATAAAGGCTACATAAAAATATGCTCCAACTTGGGCTACCGCGCTTGTTGCATTTGTGTCCTCGTGCTTTCTCATCTCTTCTTACAGATTAAAAAAAAAAAGAAAAAAGAGAGAGATAAAGATGAGTGTATATGCTGATTTCATTTATTTTTTTTTTTTAAGGAAACAAACAGTAATTAGTGAACTGAGTTGCAAGAACTTGTTAAAATAATACTACATCTGGTACTTAATATGAAAGTTAGTTGACTAATTTGGATATATTAATGAAATTTGTTAAGTTAGCTATTTATAATAAATAAGTGCTATCTTTTTCAGAATATTCTTGCTAATCTTTTGTATTAGCTATAGTTATTATTTGATCAAAATTTTAACATGTACAGTTACTACAAGAATTATTTAAAAAATTAGATAAATATAAAAAGTAAAGTAGATTGTATTCTTACATTTAGGATTAAATTAAATATTAAATTAGCTCTTGTATTAAGAACAGGAGATAGTAAAACGTGTTGCCCAGCTAAAAAGTGATTTTTTTGCTCCTACTTGAGTATTGGCTTTACTTCGGATGGCACTGTTATATTGCTTTTTCTTTTTTGCCCACACAAGTTGTAACATCCCATTTTTTTTAATTTATGTTTTTTATTTGTTTGGGGACTTAGTACGGGTAGTGTTATATATATAAAAAATTATTATAAAATAAAAGAGAAGGGAAACAATATATTTAGATGTAAAGATTAAATAGAAAATAAGAATCTGAAATAATTAAAGAGAGCTATGTATAAATATTTAAAGATAAATAAAAGGAGGATAAAATATTTAAAAATATTATATTTAGGAAAGAATGGTTTAAATTTTAAATTACCATATCTGATAGGATTTTGATAATAATAAGAATAATAAGCAAGATCAGATGAGATATAGAAATATAAGATTATATTAAAAAAAATTAATTTGAATTTTATAAGTTTTAGGGATATATTTTAGAAACCTAAAACCTACTCCTACTCCCATCTAATATCCTTATCAGCCGCCATACTCCTAAAAACCCTTCTCTTTTCTTACTTCTTCTAAATACATTCACATTGCCACAAGCTCTGGACGGCTTTTGGGAGATCTCACGCAGGTGTGAACTTGCTCCTTCTCTTATTCTCTTTTATTGATTTCCTCTCTCCCATTGTCTTTCCCTCACATCTCTCTTTCTTTTTTGTGTCTAATCATCCTTCCTCATGTCAGAAGCATCTCACGCACATGGTCACATATAGATACATATATTAGTAGGTAGAGGGGAGTGGTTACACACACACATGCCACACGTACACACACACGCACGAATTGGTAGGTACGGAGGAATAGGATGCACTTGAATAAACAAATTAAATAAATTTTTGATGGTGATATACTTGAATTAAAAGTAATAATGTCTAGATATGTTGTCAAAGTTTGAGTGAACTCTGTTATTTTAGTCTTCAGCATTTTCTTTGGTCTTGGATAATTTCTTTCTTCAACCCATAGTTATAGGTACCTACACAATATGAGACTGGTTTAATTTAGAATCTGAAGGCTTAAGAAATTCTAAGAAGACCGCAAGACTTTCATATAATTAGTTATCATAGTGAGCTAAATAAATTATAATGGAATATGAATCTAGAAGAAGCTGTACGTTTCCATGGGGTAATACTAAGGCTTTAGGATAGTTTTAAAGAAATTAGGTTTTAATAGTTCAAAACTGTATGTTAATATTATACATGTGATTTTTGTAGCCTCTTACGGAGAACATTGATTGTTTGGAAAATTGCTATTTGAATCCTTGTAGCTAAAGGATAACAGGTAACGTGAATTCTATTCATCTTACTTACTGGTGACTCCTACGAGTTCCTTTCAAAGCATGAAAATTTATGAGGATGATTTGATTACCGTTTTACGAAAAGATTTATTAGGAATT